TTATATTAGTACAAACAATACCAAAAAACATAAATATATCACGTTGAACTAATGGTGATGTTAATGACTGTATTGATGATACAAATTGATTAACACCATCAGCTGTAGTATTGAAAATGCCAAACAAATTCTTTGAAGAAATTTTGTTTATTAGAATTAAACAAAAAGACCAAATAAAAATAATCCACATACTCGAACATATTGATTCATTTTGGAAGAAGTATTATTTGATTCAAGGTGTTTGAAATCTATACATCGAATTACTATACCTTAAATAACAATAGTCATGATCTTATATATATATATATATATATCATATAAATAAATCTTACCAAGTTTTTTCCAATATTCGAAACATTTAATCATATAATAAATGCAATAACCAGCTTGATGTAGAATATAAAAGATAATTTCACATTTTCGCTTTCGAAGTTCTATCATATGAACTAAAATTTTTTCCTCTTCAGCTGCAGTAGTTTTTTCAATCGATGATGGATTAAATCGAATACCATATTCTAACATTGCCTTTGATAGAAAAAAAAACAAAAAGAGATTTTGTTTTAATTCATGTTAAAGATATTTCAATAGAAACCTCTGGAAGTTTTTGAGCAATTTTTCTTACTAAACCAATTTGGTGATCATTTGGTTCATGTGGACTAACAAAAACAACAGCCCATGTACGTATTTCATATGTTTTAACAAAACAATTATTTAAACACCATTTACCAATTTGTACACGTTCAATAACATTACCATCTAGATCACCATGTGATGATTTATATTTAATTTTTGGTCGTGGTAAGATTCGAGCTGGTAACATTATCATTTCATCAGCATTAACAGTAATATCAAATTCTTTCAGATATAGATCTTGATTAAATCCACGTTCATTAACAATATGTCGAGTCATTTTATAACGTTCTTCAGGACTAACAACAGTCTTTTTTTCTATTTTAGCATGTTGTGCAGGTGTGAGTGATTGTAAATTTGTTTGTCCTTTATCAACATTAACTAATTCTATTGGTAAAAAATATGATTGATTTTCATCATTTGAATTATATACTTCAACAACAGGCAAATGTGGATTACATAAACATATATTCAATTTATCACGAAAATAATCAACAGCTGTTATTTGTTTACTTTCATTTATTGTATATTTATGTTCACTTGCTGGACAACCAAATGATTTTAAACGATATTGACAAATTTTATTTGATAAACTTATTACAAACCAAAGAAACTTCAAAATATTTTGAACCAATAATGGATGATCTTTTGGTGGAATACCTACAACGAAAAGATCAAGATTTTTATCAAACAATTCAAATAAATAACATCAACTTAAACTACTAATGAAAATTCTTACACTTATTATAATATAAAATAGTTTTTCACGAAAAACTCACCATATTTTCGAATATCATAATTTAAATAAAAAGAGAGAAATTCAATTAAATTGTAATTTTGATAAAAACAACGATATATATTATTAATATTCAATGTTGGACCATGTTCACCAAAAACAATTGCTTGACAAAATCCTGATCCAATTCCTCGTTCACCACCTATAACAAAACAAAACAAAACAAAACAAAACTTATATTTAAAAACAAGTGAAATTCAATTTCTTCTTTATACCTAAATCATCCAAGGGTTGATATTTTGGATATGATTCATTTTCAATCGTAATCATGTTAAATCTTTGTGTTTGTTTAAATAATAATTCAAGTGTTTTAACTCGATCATTTGGTCGTGTTGATTTTCGTTCTTGAATAAAATCAAAAATATTTTTTACTTCATACGTTTCAACTAGGGTGTGGGTGTGGGTGTGGGTGGGTGGGGTGTGGGTGTGGGTGGGTGTGGGTGTGGGTGGGGTGTGGGTGTGGGTGTGGGTGTGGATGTGGGTATGTATGAAGAGAAGACGCGTACCAGCACTCACGCCCACACCCACACCCAAACACCCACACCCACACCCACACCCACACCCCACACCCCACACCCGCACCTACACCCACACCCCACGCCCACATCTACACCTACACCCACACCCACACCCACACCCATACCCACACCCACACCCACACCCA